AACATCACATTTTCATTTTTGGGTGAACTATCCCTTTAAACATCTTCTGACGTACATTAGCACTAGCTGCGACAATATGAAGGTAGAGATGTATGATGCATTATGATATCACCGGCTGGAAGAATCACTGGTGATCATTCTAACCCAGCGTTTACCTCACTACAGTACATAAAAATCATCTCTACAGTACAATCAAACGGTCTCTAGACCAGAACTTGTAATGTCTGTGGATATCTGATTCAAAATAGGCTCAGAAACAACCAGTGTACATTGTACATTTATTTTAAGACCAGATATTTCAAAAAGGTCTCATTTTAAACATCAGTTAAAGGAATAGTTCATAAAATATGCTAAAATATGGATTACTCGTGGATCATTGGGATATTGCATTAATGCTAATGTATTAGCTAATGTTAAATGAGACCTTATTGAGTCATTGTGCTCATGCTGTGCTATTTTTTTAGATATTTCCTATAGCACACCGATGCACTGATTTCAAAATCCTGAAAAAGTCCAGCTAGTTCAGTGCAAAGTATTATTTACTTCCTTCATTTTTTCCTCACATCCTCTTAAGCTGAAGTCACTTAAGTTACACAGAAATTAGTTTCCCCACTTCTGATGTTTCAGATGGCACACATCTTTTTATTGGATTGTTTGGTTTTGTCAGCCATACAAGGCAAGAGAGTGGGAGGGGGCAGCTTCAGAGCTCTGGTACTTTTCCATTGTGTAGGCAGCAGCACATTACTGAAGCTCCTTGAACGAACTCTGGCGAGAGGACGCCATCAGGTGCACGCGAGGGGCAACGAATCTGCGCCTATCGCTATGTAATCACTTTGTAAAACAAGACCAAAAGACTTTAATAGCTGTGCTGGTATTAGAAACAGAAATGATGCATCAACGTAGTAAACATGCATAATAAAACAAATAATTAGCCTATGTAGTAGGCCTAATAATAAAAAAAGAATTTTTCTTATTTTTGTTTCGCTTATTTATATTCGTTTTCTTTTTTTGTGTAAATGTTAACAATACTTTCCCTTATGGAAATTAACCATGGTTTTACTACAAAAAATTAAATAATAATAATAATAATAATA